ATATATAAAATTATAAATAAATAAATTTATATATACACACATATATAAATACAGAGAGAGAGAGAGAGAGAGTGGAGGAAGAGAGAAAGTTTAACAGAGAAAAGTAATTTCATTAAGTATTCACACAACGAATGCAACTCACATAATTTAAATTTAATTTTAATTGCCTAAACAAATGATACAGCCAACAAAATAGAATAACAAATCATATTCTGTGCCATAGACAGATTTTTGTTTAGCAGTGACATCTCATCACTGTCATGAAAATAGCAGACTGACAAAATAATTTAAACCCCTGCGTCCTATAGGCACTTCTAGGAAAGTATTCTTGAACTACAGTATCAAACTAATGCACTATGTAAATATCATTATATGTATGAGTGTTCAACGATAGGTGTAAAAGAAGAATCATATGTGTTACTGCTGCTAATTCATATTTACCATTGGCAATGTCCTCAAAATGAGAGGTGGGATACAAGTATGTTAACATCCCCATTTCTCTAAACTCACTTCATCTTTTCATTTCATGTAAGAAAAGAATCTAAAATTACTGATTTCAAACTTAATAATAGCTATTAAAATAGTCTGCACAAGGAACTAGAAACACATACAACCCAACCATAGTCACATGAATACAGTAATGTGAACTAAGCTATGCGTTTGGAAAGAATGGTGCGTTTTTCCACAGGTGTGATGGAATTTCAACCCAACCATAGTCACATGAATAACGTGAACTAAGCTATGCGTTTGGAAAGAATGGTGCGTTTTTCCACAAGTATAATGCCATTGGTACTTATGTTTGCAATGCTTTATGGTCCTAAAGAATAAGCTGTTTAAATTCTGTATGTTAAAACATATACTTCACAGAACAGAGCTTTACCAACGGCCCTCTGTAAAAGTTCGTGACAAAAACAGGATGGGATCCATCCTAGAGATATGTTTTCCAAAAGAACTGTTTTGAATACCTACCACTCCCATCTTATTTCTCTGAAGAACTATAATAAATTTAAGTCACCAAATAGGTTGAAATCTCACACCTAGATAATCCAAGATTATTGGTTTCAAACTGAATAACAGCTATCAAAATACTGTAGTCTGAATAAGGAACTAGCCACAATCTCAAATCCCAACTGCAAATGAAAAACTGTTGAAGAATTTGGATTTTGTAAGAAATAGGTTTGATGAAGGAAGTAGTTAACAGGAGGAAGTGTCATCTACAGACAATCTTCACATTAGAGAATGAAGTTTTATCAGATATTAGAATAATGTAATGGTCATATACCACTGGAATTAATTTTGATTTTATTTGTCTCTATATAATTATTGTTTTTTTTTTTAAATGGAATTGTCAATTGTCAGTTCCCTGTATCTCATTCCAATTGCATTATCTTAAATCTGATTCTGCGGAACACTGTACCACCCCACTGATAGCTGACCAAATACCATATCACTGCACTTTAAAAAGCTGGACTCCTAGGTAAAAAAAGGTTAAATTCAAAAGGAGCTCTAAAACATGAGAACTCGCATAAGGTGTGAAGTATGCGTCCGTGCATGCTATTACAACTGGTCTCTGGTTTTCCAAATTGTGATGAATTGAAGACCACCAACTAGTGTGACCCATCCCTTTCTAGAAAGAGCCCTCCAGCATCTCGTAGAACAGACAAGAAAAAGAGCATCTCTTCTCCCATACACACCTGGAAGTGCTTTAGGTTTCTGTAGAGAAATTTCTGCATCCCAAGCATTCAAATTTAAAATCTGAACAACTGTAATTGTAAATATTTCCACCTTTGAAACCATACAGAAGAAGTGTTGGATTACTGACATCTACAGTGTATTTGCTTGCTCTCCCGTTACCTGCTGCAGAAAAGAAGACCCTATTTTATATATTCAGATTCAGATTATTCTTTAAATGGATTTCTTCACACTAGTTGCAATGTAACTGTGTTTGCCTATCCTATCAATATTTGTGTACGAACTCAACTGTTTCAGGGGGCTGGGGGATGGAGGCACAATAGCAACAACAGAAGGTATTACTAAATACCATGAAAGTCTGTGAGGAGAATTCTGTATTCAACTTGCTAGTCAGAACAATGCTTATTTAAACAAAACAAAACAAAACAAAACACCAAGAAACCTAAAACAATGTTTAGACATCAGTACAGGTGTTACAGTTACAATTGATGCACTGTGTACAGGTTGCCAGTACAAAGCCGACTAACTGTAGTTCAATTCTCTCCCCCACTCCCGTGATGTATGATAATAGCTACAAGTGTACTTTGTGATAACAACGTGAGGTCCCTACACAAGTTCTAATCTTGTGTAGGGATCTCAAAAGTTAGGTGTCTGCCAAGTATGAAGGAATTCTGCTGATGACAGGATTAAATTTGAAGGCAAGCGGTTTTCCCCCCTCCAATCATAATTTTTAGAAGGAAATTGCTTCTGCTCATTTTTAATACAAGCTTGTGTTTTTTTTAAATGGCATAGAGTCATTAAGGGGACATCCAAAACACATGATGTCTAATTTCTGAAGGACAACAGTTGGACTCCAGTAGGTTGCAAGAATCACTGAAAGAGCTCCATAATCAGTGGTGAGATATAACCATGTAGTAGTCATGATGATGTCCACAAAGATCATTGAACAGAAAAGCATTGTGTCAACAGACATTAGTTTTGTTAGCGCTAGCAGGACCAGTGGGACATAACTTGCGAATATGGGTGAACAGTACTCACGATACTATTAATAATTTAGACTAAGAACCTTAATATTTCAAAATCCACAGGCAGGCAATACCTAAATTAAGACTAACTGATTTTGGACTTTGTTTTGTTTCTATGGATCAACACCTCGACTTTTGTTTTTGCCATTTTTATTATTTTAAAATCAGAAAATTTTATTGGAAAGCAACTGATATTGTTTTAGTGACTCTTGTAGAATGTGTGTTCAACAACATGCATTCTTTATGACTTCAGAGTCTTCAAGTCCCATCATTTTGAATTTTTGGCTCTTTTCTATACGCTTTAAGCATGAATGTGTGACAATCCAAAAGCATTTAAAATTATTCTCTGTGTTTTTTTCCAAGTCTTTTAAATGTACTCTAGAGAAAATCTAAACAAAAATATAACATTATATAAATTGTGGGAGTCCTAAAAAGCACACCATACGAAACACAATTGATCATCATCGCTTTAATGACAAGACACCAGGGCAAGACTCATGAGGTGGGTCCTGATACAAGAAAGCTAGCAGATTTTAGAATTTCTTTAGTGGTCTATAAAAGTCCCACTTTCTCCTACACAGTACATATGCAGCGCATTTTGAGCGCTAAGCAAGTCTGCTATTATTTAAAGGGCATTTAGCAATCACAAGATTTCATAGGAAATGTCGCCTATTTCAATGAAATGGAAACAGTGTTTTCTAATAATTACCAATAGAAATGATCTTCAAAATATTATTTTAAAATACATATAAAAGCTTTATTTGTCAGCAAATAATCCAAAGACACAAAGACTTTTAAAAGTATGCTTTTAGGGGAGAAACCTACCATTTGTTTGGGGGCGCCCTTGAACTTCCTAACTGGAATTCAAGTGAATACAGTAATCCAGGAAATAACAATTTGTTATATGTATTACATTGATAGATTTGGGGCAGAAAATAAGTTTCCCAAACATATTTCTGAAAAACTGTCACAGATTCCAGTTCATGTTGAGCGAAAGAGTTACTAAATGAAAAGGCCAGGGCCTTCATATATGGGTGGAGGGATCACTTCACCACATATATGCACAGATTTGAGTTAATAGATAATCCATACACATGTCACCGTAATATCATTAACCACGTGGTGAGATACATAGCCGCCTTGCAAATATAGTATGTATATGTTTAACATCAGGGCCTCTGGGCGGCCACAATGTACACACTGTGCGTGGTGAGGCCTAATCACCTTTCCCACCTACAGCACTAGAGACAAGTCATGCTTCAAGAGGTAAAACATTATAAAACCATTGTCTGACATACCTAACACAGTTACATACCTTCAGAATATCACTCATTTCAGGTACAACATTAAAAATTCAAAAAATGAGAAGAAGCTTTCTCTAGAGCAGTAGTTCCCAATTTTGGGTCCCCAGATGTTCCTGGACTAAAATTTCCAGAAGCCTTCACCACTGGCTGTGCTGGCCAGGATTTCTGGAAGTTGTAGTCCAAGAACATCTGGGGACCCAAGGTTGGGAACCACTGTTCTAGAGCATGTTAAAACAACTATGCAAATGAACTGAATACACTCTCTCAAAAAATATATAAACCTGCCCTATCTACAGAATTCACTGCACTATTCTGCTAGAACACATCATGACCTTTACAAAAGAATTGTTTTATTTAGAGTGTGGGAAAGACTTTAACACGGTGGTCCCAACTGAGAATTTAGAGTAGTACCAATTGGATGTACTCCAGTACAAACAGCTCGAGGATAACAACTTCAAGTGCAGTTTTAAATTAGAGGTGTGAAGTTCGCATTCTTAGTGCATTATACCTTAGGATTTTCACAATGGGATCTTCTGCTGGCCATTGTGCTGAATTACCAACATCAATGCCTGTTCTGTACATGGAAGAATTATCCTCTCAGTCTAGGTCAACTGTAAACTCCTTCCAAATAACATGCCAATCAAACCTGTTAGCCGTCCTCCACTCTGTAAAAACACAGGTTCTATCTGTTTATATATAGAACACTATGTCCTTTAGAAACCATTAAACTCTAGGACAGAAACTAATGTAGTTTTCATTTGTATTCCTTAGGACCATAAGAAATTAAGCTCTTTTGTGGTTTAATTAACAGTAGCTTCAAATCAGTGAGTGAGGAATTTCTCTTGGCTGATTACATACTTGAGCCAAAAGAAAGAACAGAAACAACACACACACACAAATAAAAACACTGCAGCACATGTGTGCGCACAGACACTCACACACCAACACAAAGACACAAGAAATCAGAAAGTCCACTCACAGAATCTCCAAGTCACGCAGCGCTCGGAAGGCTCCATCTTCGATGCAGCTGATTTGATTGTTGTCCAGTTGCCTGCAGGGAGGAAGGGACAGGATGAAGGCTTGCCTGGTAACCACGCTGCCTTTGGAGCACCATGTTCTCAGCTTCCCTGTCACTAAGGTGTCCCTCCACCCCCTTGCAGTCTTTGCCTGTCACCAGGAGGAAGCCAGCTTGTAGCCTGCCACGCTGCTCTGTCTCTTCTCACTGACGGTCTGAAAGAGCTGCATATACTACAGCACACTGAAGCCTGTCAGGTCTCAGTAAATATTAATTGCGCTTTCCCCCCTCTAAGGCAGAAGGGAATAATTTCATTACATTAGGGCATCCAATCCATTATGAGCTTTTACCAACATGTCATTGAAACAATTTCATTAAGCTAAAGGCCTGTAAATCATTGGAGGTCACTGTGTTGCCCCCAGTGACCTCCCAGAATGCTGTCCCCCCCCTTTTACTGGAAGTTGTAGTCTTCCTTCCTGACGGTACTAAATCTCAAGGCTTTATCTGCCCAAGAGCTTCAAGAGTGCACTGGGAATATACCAATTCCAAATTAGACTGAACTAATCTAATTTTATAGTCTTTTTATTATTCCAAGCACCAAATGTTTGTGGTGGTTCAATGCTTTCCTGCATTGTTTCTGGCCCCATCTGCTAGGCCTGTGTACTGAAACATTTCTGACCAAACACAGAATCTGTGCGAGTGCATCAAGCAATACTGATCTAATCAAGAAATCAAATGTCATAATACACACACTAGGAGGAAATACTTTACGTTGGGCACAACTGAATACACCACACCAAATGCGGCCAGAACCAAATAATGAGATGATGGAAAGAAGAAAATGGCTGATATAGGCTCTGACCAGGCATTCCTAGAATGACCCGTAGGCATATCACTATCTGACCCAAGCTAATCCTGACCACATTTTACTGCCAGAAATGATGTTCAGATATAGTACCTGGACTGCACACACACAATGCCAGATTTGCTAATATTTCTGAATTAATACTTTCAAAGCAAAACATCAAAGCAAAGTGTGCTGCTTATATACAGTCTCATGGCACTTCAATGCCAGATTTGCTAATATTTCTGAATTAATCCTTTCAAAGCAAAACACCAAAGCAAAGTGTGCTGTTTATATACAGTCCCATGGCACTTCAACTACTCTCTGGATGGTTTACAATTTAATTATGCAGATTATACATTGCCCCCCCCCCCCAGCAAACTGGGCACTCAATTTACCAACATCAGAAGGATGGAAGGCTGAATCTACCTTGAGCTGGCTATCTGATCCCACTGGGACCAAACTCAGGTCGTGAGTAGAGTCTTGGCTGCATTACTGCAGTTTAATCATTGTGCCACCAGGTTCTTTTAGCTATTTTCTTATTTTATTTACGTAAAGTATTTCTCAATCATTTTCAATATTATTACAATATTTGTGCTTCGGTATATTATGTTACCTTTCCTCATTTATTTTTCAATGTGTACACTTAAATACATTATCCTAAAACACACAAATATTAATGCTTAAAATTCGACAGGAGTGCTAAATATAGCATTATAAAGCAAAAAGCAGAAACAGTGCTATGTACTCATGGATATTTTATTTCTTTTAATATGATCATGTCTACCTTACACCTTCAAATTTTGTGTAATTCAAATTCTGAAATGCATAATTAAATAAGATAATATATTCACATGGTATAAATGTTATCTATTTCCAGGTATTTTTCAAGTTATAGTCACTTAAGTTGCTATCACGCACAACAGGTTTGCAATAAAATGTCCCCTTCTCTATCCTGGATTATTTCCTTTACAAAGAAGTACTTATGAAAACCTCAGGGTCCCCATCCCAAACCTATAGGTACCTATCCTCTTCTGCATATATTCGGCTCAATCTAGACAGATCTAAAGTTGTGTGGGTCAGATTGGGATTGCAACTTGTTGAATCAGCTTTGATTTTAGACAGTCAGATTATCTGCTGTGGCCTTTGTCCACCTATCCCAGGGCAGATGGATTTGGCCACAGTGATCCATGCCTTAATTATCTCTTGGTTTAGATTGATGTAATGTGACCTATGTGTGACTGCCCTTGAAAATTATTCATAAATTAAAACTAGTACAAAATGTGGCAGCTAGACAGTAGAAGAAAGCATACTCTAGGAAAGAAAATACAACAGTCATGAGCCACCGCACAGTCTTATTTGTTTCCAAGATCAGTTCAAGGTTCCACGTCTTCGTTTAGTCGTTTAGTCGTGCACGACTCTTCGTGACCCCATGGACCAGAGCACGCCAGGCCCTTCTATCTTCCACTGCCTCCCGGAGTTGTGTCAAATTCATGTTGGTTGCTTTAATGACACTGTCCAATCATCTCATCCTCGGTCGTCCCCTTCTCCTCTTGCCATCACACTTTCCCAACATCAGGGTCTTTTCCAGGGAGTCTTCTCTTCTCATGAGATGGCCAAAGTATTGGAGCCTCAGCTTCAACATCTGTCCTTCCAGTGAGCACTCGGGGTTGATTCCACACAGAGGTCAAAATAGTTTAGTGCTGGGATATCAGAAGTATTGCCCCCTCTTCAAAACTACTTGGATGATGACCTCCTCAACGGAAGCCATATTTCATGCCTTATCATCTTGGGAGACTACAGTGGCGAACAGAGGATGGAGCAACAACATTACCATGGAACTCCCCTACAAGTGACATCAGGCCGGCTCCATTTCTCTTTACCTGCCAAAAAGCACCCAAAGCTTATAAATCCACATGGTCTTTTGTCTTTCAAAAAGCTTTCAATAGTGGCTTTTAAAATTTTTTATCTATTTCAAATATTTTTCCTTTTATTGCAGAAAAACTAACTCAGAGGATGGAGCAACAACATTACCATGGAACTCCCCTACAAGTGACATCAGGCCGGCTCCATTTCTCTTTACCTGCCAAAAAGCACCCAAAGCTTATAAATCCACATGGTCTTTTGTCTTTCAAAAAGCTTTCAATAGTGGCTTTTAAAATTTTTTATCTATTTCAAATATTTTTCCTTTTATTGCAGAAAAACTAACTTAAGTTAAAATTTTAATATTTCGTTTTAAAATATTCTATTTTAGATTTTAATTATCATATGTCATGCCTTATCATCTTGGGAGACTACAGTGGCGAACAGAGGATGGAGCCACAACATTACCATGGAACTCCCCTACAAGTGACATCAGGCCGGCTCCATTTCTCTTTACCTGCCAAAAAGCACCCAAAGCTTATAAATCCACATGGTCTTTTGTCTTTCAAAAAGCTTTCAAAAGTGACTTTTAAAATTTTTTATCTATTTCAAATGTTTTTTTCTTTTTATTGCAGAAAAACTAAGTTAAAATTTTAATATTTCGTTTTAAAATATTCTATTTTAGAGATTGTTTTAATTATACATTGTTCTTGGGAGATCTGGTCCACAGAGCAATCACTGACAAAAACTTTAAGTAAATAAAGTAAGAAAGGAATTAAATAAAATGTTGGTTGCTTGAGAACCAACACTTTAAAATTGAGGTCAGTATTAATATAAGTACTGTGTCATTCACAGGACGAGATGGTTGGACAGTGTCATCGAAGCTACCAACATGAATTTGACCCAACTCCGGGAGGCAGTGGAAGACAGGAGGGGCTGGCGTGCTCTGGTCCATGGGGTCACAAAGAGTCGGACACGACTTAACGACTAAACAACAACAACTGTGTTAACAGGAGGGCCTGATGTGCTCTGGTCCATGGGGTCACGAAGAGTCGGACACAACTAAATGACTAAACAATAACAACTGTGTCATTGTGACATTTTCTGCAAGTTGGAATCATAAAAGATATATAACTCTTTAGAATTATGAAACAAGCCATAAGAAAGGGTATAAAAATAAGATTTTAACAATGTTAACTAATTTCCTAACAGCTGTTATAAATAAGTTATTGATAATCCAAATTAGGTTAGTGATGACAGTAACTCCATTTATTCTAAAAGTGGCAGATTCCAATAAAACCTGACCTTGAGCATCACAGTCAAATACGTGGAGTTTAGAAAACAGGCATACATGCTTAAATCTCACTGCAAACCTTCCAATATTCCATACGGGGAAACAGACACACTTTTGTATAAAACCTATTGTAGGTTTGAAACAAATTTTGAAATTTCCTAAAGTAGATTAAAACAACAACAACTTCTAGGACAGACAAATCATTTTGGAGATCAGTACCGTATTATGGGTTACACGATTGGTGTGAATGGATACAATGTTATCCCCTGAACCTGTATTATTATTATGTATGTACAGCTAAGTGCCTGTATGCCCTAGTAGAATATAGAAAAGAAAATTTAAAAAGGAGGGAACAGTAACGGGCATTTGGTAATAATAATGCATCTTCGACCTAGGCTAAAATCCTTTTTTTTCTATTGCATAGGAGAGACTTTCCCTACCGTACAGGATGTTTTTTTCAGTTTACAGGGCACTTATTTCAGTGACACGGACATACTGTGTGGAGCACCAAGAGAGCCAATTAGCTGATTTTTCATTTTTATTCTTTTTCAAATAATTGGTCTTGATTTGTTTGATTTCGCAATGCCAAAATCGAGGATAATTCAAGCTTCCTTGCGCAATATTACAGCAAAAATATCATTGTGGGGTTGTCTTTATTTTTTGTTACAGATATTTTTTGTCAGAAACATGTATTTTCTTAAAATATGGGCACTTAGGTACATGGAACACATCAGTATTTAGCATGTGAAGATCGCCTACATGACCTAATGCTATTATCTATTGCTGATAGCTCCTTTGTCCCTGACTGTATGTTACATTAATCTACTCCTGTGTAACTTGCTTTGGATCCTGAAGCTATGTGTAAAAGCAAACTGTTCATAAGTCTTTAATTTTTGGACTTAATAATGTTTAGCATTTGGAAGAAAAATACAAATTGATTTGTATATAATCTAATTATGTGCAATCAAATCAACTCTGACAACGAGACTTTTCAGGGTTCTCTAGGCATAGAATACTCAAAGGTGGTGCTCCCTC